CCATGTGCCTCTTCTAGCCCCGTCTTCACCTCAGAATTGTCTTGCCCAACGTTGAATCCACAACGCCGATGTTGAATCACGACGATGAGCCACTACGGAATCCACCAAAGCTTCAGGCCCAAATACTACGGAATCCACCGAAGAACAACACTATCTTTTGTATTGAACGAAACAAACAATCCTTTGATGTATACTTTTCAAACCAGATTTAAACTCAAACAAACTTCAAAGAAACTAGCAAAGAAGCTCCAGATATAAACCCTAATATCCAAGATGAAGATCTGGAAGCCGTAACCCTAAAATCTGACTGAACCGCATATTTATAGAAAACAGAACCACGATCTCCGCTTGAGCGCAAGAATGGCTGCTTCAGCAGACTGACGCTCGAGCGCAGGAAGTTCCGCTTGAGCGCAAAAAACACAACTTCCAGCTCGATCCCCGACATAGTCAACGAAATGGCAAACATGAAAGAATTAACTTTTGAAACAACTCTGCAAGGCACAATTCAAGTTGGATTCATATCTAAAAACTCATAGCCTCACTGAAATAAAAGATCGAATAAAATTACAACTAAAAGGAGTTTTGTCAAACGGGATTGCCAATTACAAAAACATAACACACCCGTTTTGGCCAAATTATTTTAGACCGCTAAAATATATTTTTAATTCATTAATTTATAGTATTTTATAATTTTACATGATTTTATGTGTTTGTACATAAAAATGATCACAAACTTACCGTCCACTTTCCTAATCACACCCCACCATCACCATTCATCATAACCATTACCACTCACCATCGATTTTCATAATCACACACCACCATCAACACTCACCATCCACTTTCCTAATCATACACCACCATCACCACTCACCATCCACCTCCATTATATATTGTCTTCCACTTTCTCCACTAAGAAAGCCTTCTTCAATTGCCTAAATAAGAAAAACATTAGAGTTCTGAAAGAGGTGTGAATGGTTTTTTTTTAGAGAGAGGTCTAAGCTTTGATCAAAGAAAAAGTTAATTTTTCCAAAATTGAGAGAAAGTATAAAGTAAGATATAAACCTCTATTTTCCTACATATACCACCCAAAATTTCACTAAGGCTAAAACTTGAATTTTCTTGTTGAGATTTCAAAAACATACTCCATAATCTGAGGATGTAAAGAAGAAAGTTTGATAAATTAGAAAATTCATCATTTCCTCCAAAGGTGAATTTTCGCAACTTTCTCATTTATTTTCTTACTTTTTCTTTACTGTTTTAAATATGTAGTTTCTTTACTTTAATAATAATAATATAATAAATATTTGTATACTATTATTATTATTATGTTTGTTTATATTATATTATTATTATATTGTTATTATTATTATTATTATAACTATATTTGATTTGTTAGATTTAGCTTATGTTTGAATTAGATAGTTGTTTGTTGTAATAATTCTCAAACCCGACGTCTTTTATTTAGTATTGTAATTATTTAGTGTTGTAATAATTCTCCATCCCTATTTCTTTCTATCTCTTTTCATTTATTTGTTTTTCACATTTGTAAATAGCCACTACAACAAGTTGTGTCTTGAATGACGAAATTTTTATTTTTTATTTTTTTTTAAATCTCCAAAGAGCTAATTTAAGGTTTTGTCAATTGTCACCTTAAAAAATGGGCCATCATCAGCTCTGGTTTTTAACACAGCCTTGACTGTCTTCATCACTGAAAGGGTAATTTATGTGTAAATTGGGCTGAGCTAGGTAAAATCTTGTTTGGAAGTTTGGGCCACGCAATGGGCCAAGATAAGAGTTTTGTGTAGCTCGGTCTTGGGCCGAGTAGGCACTATGCCGGTCACAGATGTGTTGCTAGGGCTTGGACCTAGCTATCTGAGGCCAGACCTTTATTGCGCCGAGGTGATTGCTAGTGTAGAGGGCCAAGATAGGTGTAGCTCGGCTGGGTGCCATCCAGTAGCTAGGGTCATCATGGCTCTGCCATGGGGAGCATAGAGCTGAGATAGCTTGGTTGACCATAGTGATAGCCAGAATAAAGAGTTTAAACCATCTCACCTGGGTGGTAGTAAGAAGGGTTTTCTAAGGATAGGCGTTATCCTCTAGCTGTGTGATTCCTAGAAGGACTCTGTTAAGGAGAGTTAGAGTCCTACTAGGATTGTGTCAGGTGAAATTCATAAAAGCTCATGGCAGAACCTATGCACAGGTAATGCAATTCTTACTCTCAAATACATAGAGCTTATTGTCTATTATCTAATTACTGACTTAGGCATCAGAGTGTTTCTAGCACATACTCGCCGGCTAGCTTACATGTGTTTTCAGGTAGCAAAACGACGATGCTTGGAGTAGTGCAAACTTGATCAATAGGATTATGCGAGAAGATTATTTCGTCCATGTACAATTGGCGTTGTCTGTGGGAAGTATTATAGAGAACAAACCTTTTGATTAAGTTTTCCTTCAACTGATCTTTAATAGCACACAACGAAGACTTGCCTTAATTTGCTATCGATGGACAAACTCCAGAAGGGGACAGGAGGCATGAGAATTTGCCTTTTGTCCCACTCATGGCAGACTTGGACCCCCCAGCGTCAGAACCCATAGAGGGGTGTGTGAGAAAAACGGGGCTCAAGTCCACATCGCTCTCAAAGCCCAGATGGACAGAGGCGGAGGATGGATTCTCAGGTTCTAGAGAATTGGGTGAAGGAGTAAAATGAGTTGATGAAGAGAATGACGGCAGACATAGAGATGATGAAGCGCCTGATGAAGGGCAAAGGCATGGCAGGAAAGGAAGTTCGTGAAGGCAGAACGCGTTCTTGCCATTCAGGAGATTGTGACAGGCGAGTCACACCTTTGCATAATGGAAGCGTAAGCCTTAGAACAGGCGACACACAATCAAGAACCATACGGACTTGTTGCTCCAAGTCTGAGAGAACGAGCACTAAAAGGTCTTACATGGAGGGAAGTAGTTATTGTCCCTCGCATACACACTAAACGACCTCTAGGCATATAGAGTTGCCTACGTTGATGGACTTGTGACCGTGCTAGAAGAAAGGACTCAAAGGAGGGAAGATGCCCAGGTGCATGACCACCAAAGGGTCTCTACTTTGCAGCAGCTGGCTCCTAAGACAGATGGAAGTGTCGAGGTTGCAAAGCCCACGTCGCGCCTTGCTTATGAGCTAGCAGACAAAGCATTAGCAATGTTGCAAAGCTCACCGTTCATTCCAGCGATAAAGAATGCACCACTACCCTTGGGCTTCAACGAGCCTAAGTTTAAAACCTACGAAGGAAAGTCAGACCCCTATATGCACTTTCGCCACTTTCGCCAAGTTATAACTATACATAGGCGAAATGAAGCTCTTATGTGCATCTTGTTTCCATCAAGCTTAGGCGACCTAGGTTTGACTTGATTTGAAAGGCTTCCAGAAGGTAGCGTCACTTCATTGGCCCAACTGGCAGAGGCGTTTGTCACTAAGTTCAAGACAAACACCAAGACCCCAGTCGAGATAGACTAGTTGCTCGCCATTGACATGAGCAAGAAAGAAACATTAAAGGCTTACAAACAACAGATACTGGCAGACTTTCAATCAGATAGGCAATTGCCCCACCAACCTAGCTATCACGCAGTATAAGTGGGGTTTGTTGGTGCGCCACAAGTTGAGGGATTTAATGATGATGACGCCACCTCTCATGATGGAAGCCCTGATGGAAAGAGGGGAAGTATTGAGTGTACAACCAACTGTGAAAAAAGGGAAGACGGAAGCGAAAAACGTCATCTTATTCTCTGACAAGGACATAGCAAGGTTGCAAAACCCTCACAACGACGCGCTAGTGGTTACTCTACACATCAAGAATTTTGACATCAAGCAAATCTTGATAGACCAAGGGAACTCGTGCGAGATAATGTACTATGGGACCTTCAAACAACTCAAGTTGGAGGACAAAGATTTAGCACCCGCGACATCTCCCTTGGTCGGTTTCAACTCTATACTAGAATGGTTAGTTGGTAAAATAATTTTGCTAGTCAAAGCTGGGACAATGACGAAGCAAGTGGAATTCTGGATGCTGAAAGTCCCTTCCACTTATAACATTATTTTGGAAAGAGCATGGTTGCACGCTATGCAAGCGATAGCATCAACCTACCATCAGGTGATGCAATTCCCTAATGAAGATGGAATGATTGAAGAAATCTTGGGAGACCAAATCATATCCAAACAATGCTTCATGACGTTGAATAGCAACCGGGCTGCCAAAGGGTTCGTGTAGATGGTAGAGGAACCAGAAAACAATGAGCTGTTCATAGATGTCGGCAAGGCAGCCAAACAAAAGGCAGTGGAAGATCTGGTGGAGGTAAAAATAGAAGAAAACATCCCAAAGAAGTTCTTTTTTCTTGGCTCATCTTTGTCCAGCATCGAGAGAATAGAGATCATGGAATTCTCGATCTCTAACATTGAAGTGTTTGCCTAAACGCCATATGACATGCCTGACATTGACCTAAACTTCATCTGACATCAACTTAATGTCAACCCAACTGCCAGACCAATTATACAGCGAACTCATCAATCGGCAGTTCATCACGCCAAGATAGTAGCTGAAAAGCTAAGGAACCTGCTCTAGGGAGGGGCGATCAGAGAGGTTCACTATCCTATGTGGATCTCCAACATCATGGTGGTGCCAAAGAAGAACGGCAAGTGGCGCGTTTATATGGACTATAAGAAGGTGAACAAAACATGCCCAAAAGATAGTTTTCTTATAACCACAGATAGACCAACTAGTGGACCTAACTGTAGGTCACAACTAACTTAGCTTTCTCGATGCATATCATGGATACCATCATATCGCTATATATGAACCGGGCCAGGAGGTTACATCATTTACAACACCTAGGGGATTGTATTGCTACAAGGTCATGCCCTTTGGCCTAAAAAATGCAGGGGCAATTTTCCAGCTCATGGTCACCAAAATGTTCGAGCCATTGTTAAGTAGAATAATGAAAGCTTACATAGACGACATGGTGGTCAAGAGCAAGAATAAGGGAGACCATCTTAACGACCTGGCTGAGATTTCCAAATTTTGAAGACCCACAAGTTATGATTAAACACATCCAAATGCGCGTTTGGTGTGGGGTCAGGTAAATTTCTAGGCTTTCTAGTAACCAACTGAGGTATAGAAGTTGATCCCTCTCATATCAAAGCCATTTAAGATCTAGATAGGCCCAACACAGTCAATGAACTACAGTATCTCATGGGCCTAGCTGTCGCGCTAAATCGATTCATAAGTCGGTCATCAGACAAGTGTCGACTGTTCTTCCAGGCACTCAAGGCCAAGTTCGAGTGGGATGATGAATGCGACCAAGCTCTGGAGAGCTTAAAAGCATACATGACCTCTCTGCCACTATTGGCAACCGTTGTACCAAGAGAGGAACCTTTTCTATACTTGGCAGTTTCCCAACATACAGTTAGCCCGATGTTGGTACACGTCGAGGGAATACAACACTTGTCTATATTTTATGTAAGCAAGACATTGCTAGGTGTCAAAACGAGGTACTTACCTTTAAAAAAATTGCCCTTATCTTTGATGATGGCTTCAAGAAAATTGCCGCACTACTTCCATACCCGCATCATGATCGTCTTAACAGTCTTCCCCTCAAAAGCCTTGTTTGAAAGAGCGGACTTTTCTAGGCGAATATTGAAGTGGGCCTTGGAGTTAGGGCAGTTCGACATCAAGCTCTAGTTGAGAACCACAATAAAGGCCCAAGCTTTGGCAAACTTTGTGGTTGAGTTTGCACTAGGAAATCATTGGGTGTGTTTGGTTTGGTTTGGGGAGATAAATTTTCAAAAAAGATTTTGAGGAGAGAGTTTAGAAATTTTTTTGATTTGTTTGGTTGTATATTTTGGAAATAGTCTTGGAGTATGGAAGTTTAGGATGCTTTGATATTTTGTTGTAATTGAGCAGATGTGTGCGAGAAAAAAAGTGATTGATTGATGTGTAAGAGAGAGAAAATGATTTTGGAATTTTTTTTCCAAAATCACTAAACCAAACAAAATTTTGAAATTTTTTCTCCAAAATTTGTTTCTCAAAAGCAAACCAAACAAGGCCATTATGTTTTCCCGGTCGACTTGACCGAAGCAACCGAGGAATGGGGCAAGTGCTGCAGGAATAATGCAGCCCCCGCAGTAAGTCACTCAACTGTAGTAGGGGGGAAGGACCATGCCACACCACTACAAGTAAGAATGCACTTGAAGGTGAAGTGGTAAAATAGTCAGGCAGTGAGGATCAAATCCTAACGACGGACAAAAACTTAAAAGAAGATGTCGTCAATGTCCCTGATCCTAAAGTGTCCTTAGATTTTCCACTTGTTGGAAGCTGTGATAGATGTGGAAGTTCTGTGGATGGAACGTCCAACAGGCACTGGGCTAGACTTGGGATAATCCTCATCTCGCCAGATGGCTTGACCATTGAATAAGCTATTAACCTCGGATTTCCAATATCCAACAATAAGGCAGAGTACAAAGCATTGTTAGCCGATTTGAAGTTAGCTTACCGGATGAAGGCCATCGAGCTAATAGTGCATAACGACTCTCAACTAATAGTCAACCAGAGATTCGGCGAGTATGAAGCAAAGATTGATAGAATGGCCAAGTATTAGGAGCTGGTCAAGAATGAAATCATGAAATTTGACGTAGTGAGGATAGAGCAAATCAGCCAAGAAAAAAATAGCAAGGTGGATGAATTGGCCGGTTTTGTGTCGATGGCAGACACATTATCCCGCACCCATTATTAGTTGACTTCCTGCCCAGACCGAGCATTGAGGAACTTGAAGTGGCCAAGGTATGCTGTGGCGAGCTAGGTCCCTCCTGGATGGACCCCATCATTCTGTTCTTAAAGAATAGCATTTTTCCAGAAGACAAGAAGGAAGCTAACAAGATTCATGCAAAATCACAACGGTTTTAGCTTTCCCCATCCCTAGCACCGCACAAAAAGTCCTTCACAGGACCATACTTGAAGTGTGTTCATCCTAGCAAGGTCAAGACATTCTTGTTTGAGATCCACAAGGGAATTTATGGAAGCCACCAAGGGGGGAGATCTCTGGCCTATCGAGCTATCTCACAGGGCTATTGGTGGCCAAACATGCAGGCAAACACAGAAAAATATGTCAAGAAATGCAAGAAATATCAGAAATTCACGCATCAAATCCATCAACCAACTAGAGAGCTCCTACCTTTAAACAGCCCTCGGCTTTTTGCAATACGGGGCTTAGACATAGTGTGACCATTCCCAACTGGGCTGGGCAACAGAAAATTCTTCATTGTAGCGATAGACTACTTCACAAAATGGGTGGAGACAAAGGCGCTAGCATCCATCATAGAAAAAGATGTCAAGAAGTTTGTCTGGCAGAACATCATAACCCGGTTTGTAATTCCCACGGCTTTGATATCTGACAATGGTACCCAATTTGACGAAAGAATCTTTAGGGGTTTTTACGAAGAGCACAAGATCGAATTCTACAACTGCACGCCAGCATACCCTCAAGCCAACAAACATGTAGAAGCTTCCAACAAAGTAGTCTTAGATGGATTGAAGAAGAGGCTAGAAAAAGCAAAAGGGAAATGGGCTGAGGAACTTCCCTACGTCTTATGGGCTTACTGAACTACACCTAGGCGGTTGACCGGCGAAACGCCTTTTTCCTTGGCCTATGGCATGGAAGCAGTAATTTCCCTGGAAGTCGGCCTCCCCACTATTAGAAATGAAAATTTCGATCCGGATTTGAATGAAGAGGCCATAGCCTTGGAGTTAGATCTTGCCGAAGAACGAAGAGAAAGGGCATTGGTTCACATCGCCTCGCATTAACAGGAGCTATCTAGAAAATACAACAAGGCAGTGCATCCAGGGCAATTCAAAATTGAAGATTGGGTGCTACGCAAAAGTAATGGAAAACACTTTGGTACCTAGGGATGGCAAACTAGGACCCAACTAGAAGGGGTCGTACAAAGTGATGGGATTAGCAGGAAAAAGAGCTTACCACCACGAGGATGTGGACGACCAAGCTATCCCAAGGCCATGGAACACGGCTAATGTCAAGATATTCTATTTTTTATTTTTTGCACTTGTAATTTTTTGTAAACATTCAATAAAATAAGTAGTCATTTTTTTGGTAAATTTTTCAATACTTAGGTTTATTTCGGTCTGTATGTAAATCTTTGCCCAACTAGGGGCAAAGAAGGTTGGCAGGTTTGACCAACAAATTTTTTTACACTCTTTGGCTGAGATGGTTATCTCGGCCAAAGAAGGTTGGTAGGTTTGACCAACAAATTTTTGCACTCTTTAGTCGAGATAATTATCTAGGCCAAAAAAGGTTGGCAGGTTCGACCAAAATTTTTTTTGCACTCTTTAGCTGAGATGATTATCTAGGCTAAAGAAGGTTGACAGGTTTGACCAACAAATATTTTGCACTCTTTGGCCGAGATGGTTATCTTAGCCAAAGAAGGTTGGCAAGTTTAACCAACAAATTTTTGGACTTCTTAGCCGAGATGATTATCTAGGTTAAAGAAGGTTAGCAGGATTGACCAACAAATTTTGACACTCTTTAGCCGAGATGGGTATCTCGGCTAAAGGGGGTTGGCAGGATTGACCAACACCTTTTTGCACTCTATAGCCGAGATGATTATCTCGGCCAAAGATGGTTGAAACTATTGTGTGTGGTTGAGCAGATGAGCTCGGCAGAGTATGCATTCACAATTAGGGAGTACATTCAAAAGTGGCATAGAAAAGGTATAAGTGGCGTGCAAAAACTTGAAGTTTTTTCATTAATAACGCAAATGATTACAAAAGGAGGGGGTGTAGCCCGATTACATGGAAAAAGTAAAAAAAAAAAAATAGAAAAAAACAAGAGATACATCACGGTCAGCCGAACAAGTCATCCAACTCGATGTTTGCGTCAACACCGACTCCAACACCACTGTCAGGTGTTAGATTGGTGATGCATTCTTCGATGACCAGGCTTAGCTCGGCCTGGCTTGGCACTTCTGACCGAACTGGTACCGGGCTCTCATGGTCGAGCTTACCGACTAAGAGAGGAACATCGCTTGGTACATGATTGTCTTCCTCCTCCACCTACAAGAACTTTTATTGCACAGTGTTGGCGTACGCTGCCATATGGCTTGGGATAAAGTGGGAGGTAGAATTGAGGAAGACCTCAGAGTCGCGAGCCTGGCCGAGCTTCTCCGCTGCTACCATCCAACTACATTTGAAGAAAATATCCTAGG